TTCACTTATGTTTATTTATGTAATCGATTCGATTCGCATATTGGAAGCTGGTATTTGGTGTTCTGGACTCAAGTGGACGGGCTAGGCAGACATAGGACCAAATAAGACGCTAGGCTGCTCATACCGGTCGAACGTCATTGGTTTTGCATAGTGCTAAGATTGTGTAATTCGTATTTTGATTGGTGGATAAATCCCGTGATAAAAAGCCGGACATAAAGTCATAACAAAACTAGTATATTTTCTGAACAATCTACGTTATTGACGAACTAATACATTTGAATGCTCTATATATATATCCTTAAGATAAGTCTAAGCCAATAAGCTGATTTTATTAAAATCTAAAATCATCAAATTTTTGGCGAACAATGAAAGAGCATTTGAGAATGGAATGATATTTCAATTCATGACAACTATATTAAAAAGGAGGGACCAACAATTGTGTTTCTCTTACGCAATACTCAAATATATTCAATCAGTCGTATTTATTATCTTCAACGATAGATGTTTTTGTAATGAATATCTTGTTTAGATTTTTCTTAATAGAAGGTTTATCATCGTCTGGATATTCACGAAACATACATTTAAATTAACTTAATTAGTTGTATTTCGAACTATGTTTTTTTACTATTTGTGAACATTGTTACTACAAATTAAACATAGCCTCTGCTATGATGAGTAATAACTAATCATAAATCGTCCAACATTGGATAAAAGTGCAATTATTTCACCGCACCTTTTAGATAATTTATGTAGGTAGTTTCCAAGGTGATCGATAACTATAATAATAGTTTTCACTAAAAATGAACATAATTCACAAAGTTGAATTCACAAATTAATCTAAGCCAGACCACCATTGAAAACCTGGTTTTCAATGGTCTAGCTACAATGTCTACAAATCCTATTACTGATAAAGTTTATATAAGGTGAATGAAAATTGAAACTATTTTAAGAAATTTCATGATTGATATTTTAATATTCCATTTGGTTTATCACAAACATTAACGTATTATTATTGATCAAAATTCATATTAATATTCGACATATTCTACAAATCACATCTTTCATTTTAGGATCCTAGAAAGTTCATGCAGTGAACCGAGTCAATAATTGATAAAATTATCTTTAAGAAATGGATTAATCCGGAATTACTATGAATTATTAATGAACTTCAAACTATCATAATCGTATTATTGTTTCTTGAATTCCAGGGTTTCCCTCCAAACTCAGAATATTTGCATACTGTAAGTAAACTAGAAACATAGTGAACATTGATTCATTAGATTTTGAAACTTATACAGATTTTTTAAAATTGTAACTGATTAATAATTCACGTGTAATATCGAAGCCCTTCGTATTAGGTTACTATAGATATTAATAAGTTTGCGTCATTAATTGCATCTACGTTCAAGATATCATAATATCACCTTGGTACTGGTGAACATGACGTGAACCGGCAACGCAATAACAGGACGAAACTAAGCTGTTCTTTTACGCCCCAGCCCAGCCAATCAGAGGGCGAAGACCGGAGTCAGCAGGAAAAATATATAATGCCACAAGCAACCTGGAAGAACAAATAATAAGTTATCAGCTTATGCGTGATATATATAATACGAAAATGTTCTTGAAAAGCGTCACAAAATAGCGTACTAAAAGAGAAAACAAATCAATGATGTTTAAGATCCTTGCAAGTGGGAAACACACAGTGAAGATAATAGTAGGCGCTTTTGGAGCAAAAATGAGAAATACGCATTTCTACAATTATATTACAAAAATAATAAGTTTAAGAAGTGACTTCTAGGGATCTGGCATTCTCAACAATTACTGGCAAAGAATTCTGTGATAAAAATTTCTCCCTCATTCACGATTCCAAGCCAGTGGTTTATTTTCACGCCAAATCAGAATGGTCTTTGAAATGCAATCCGAAAGTTATTGAGGGGATAATTAACAAGTGAACTCAACCAAACTGACGTTAAGGCAGTAATTTATAATTAATATTGAACGAGAATGACATCATAATACAAATCGACTGAAATTAAGAATGTGAGATGTTTGATTCGAAATTATTGGATAAATGGTATCATAATTACCGGAAGATATGAAATGTCTTATAATCTAATCCGTATGTAATCGTGTGTATTCACTTTTGAGGACTTTCTAATTAAGCTAAAATACTTATCTAGTGTAACCTGGTTTCAATGCTTATACAATTGACATCAGTTCAGAATAGAAATTACTTTCAAATAACCCTTATTAGATGAACTTATTCCATTAGTAGTCTAGTTTTCTTATGTTGAATCATAATCCAATGAAAATTTGGGATATAATACGTAGTTTTAAAGAAATAAACATTATTATCAGAAGGGGATTTTGTGGAGATTTTAGTAATTTTATATTTGAATTCATGAGTCAATTGAAGCTAGATCACCATGGAAAACCTGGAAGCACTGGACGGCCATTTCGTCCTAGTATGGGACGCCTCAGTAGTGAGCACTTACGATCCCGCCCAGCGAGATTCGAACCGAAGACTTGTCAGTCTCGCACGTGGATTGGTTGAAGTTAGACATCAACACCGTTAAATGCCGGCTCAATGGTCTAGAGATTAAGCATTCGCGCGCATGGCCGATAGGTCCTGGGTTCGAATCTCGTGGAGCGGAATCATGGATGAGCACTGCTGAGGAGTCCCCATATTAGGATGTAACGACCGTCTAGTGCTTTCATGTTTTCCATGTTAGTCTAGTTTCAATTGACTCATGAATTCAACTTATAAAGTAAATGGAAATATATTTATACACTTATTATCGTCAACCTATTGAAGAATATTTATCAGTAAATCTATCTATATTAGCTTGAAAGAATCGTTCTAATTCTAAATATTTTCAGGAATTTATATAACTGTTTACTTTACCTACAAAATGTCTGATCTCTGTAGCGTTTTGTGTTTTCATCTTTTAATTCATTATTCTCGTTCAAACTTCAATGATGTTTATCTATTATTCATGTCTCTTTGTAATTTTCATATAGTTTAGATAAACAAATAAATTATTGTCTAACCAGCTGGGCAAATTTATTATCTGTATAACACATTAAGCAGATTGAACAAGCTTATTAATAATAATACTCTATTCATAATTAATTTAACACACTTGTATGATTTTTGTTGTTGTTGAAAATACTGTATGGAAAATTTTTGTAATCAACTTAAGTTATTCACAACATTTTCAATGTTGATTACATGTTTAGTACTTGATATTATCCGTCACTTTTCTATTTATGTTGTCAATGTGAGTTGGATATTACAGTATTAAAAGTATATCTTCATATTGCCAAAAACTAGCTAGTTCCATAATTTACTAAGTAATTTATTTTAAAAACAACTTACATGATACACCGATATGTCTTGAAGAAAGTTTTAGTGTGGTCGAACTGTGATTATGATTCACGTGCATATATGTATTATTATCTACCACATAATTATATAATGGTTACATTTATGTATTCAATTAAGTCCAAGCAGATGTTTCCGAATACATATTATCATTTATAGTACAGGAATCAGGGATAAAATGTTTATAAAAGACTTTTGGAATATGTTATGCACACAAATATAGGTGGAGAATCCTGTCCCTTGACATATTTACATAAAATTATGCATTCCATGTGAATGGGGTGAATATGTTTGTTTGTATTTATAAATATTGATTGCGTAATAATATCCTATAAACTAAACAGTTAATTGCCACCTGGAATGGATTAAAGTTTATTATAAAATGTGATACAAAAAATATGTCCAAAAAGAGACCTCAATAGGTCATTTTAGTCACTATATTCCTTACTTTGTAAAACTGATCATTCTCACATGAAGGATATTTCAAATGCGTAGCTTGAGTCCTATTCAGCTTGTACTGATACAACCGTTTGAATAAAACATAGTACCACACCAAGTTTTACTAGTGATCATGGTTATAACCTACTAGTTAGCAGATGAATATAGTATGTAATGTCAAATCTACGTTAATTCTTCCTGTTAACTTCGGAATCTTATTGTGTTTGCTGACTCATACTAATGTGAATCAGCCAGCTCACATGATTTAAACATGAATTATCTAGTTTTTCAACTTAGTGTGTTTACTCCACTTTCCTCTCGCGTTTAGACGCTCCTGATGGTCCACAAATGAAATGCCAAGGTGGATGAAAGCTCTTTACCAGACATTCCTAATCAATAGTATATGTCGTAACCATATTTAACAGTTAACGAAGCAACTTAAAAGTCGACAAATAAATTTAAGTTGAGTATAAGAACTTTACTAGAAAATTTGAAGTCTATGAAGTCGGAAATATTTTAATCCTAGTAGTGTGAATTACTGTTAAAATTTACGGATCAAGACAGATATTAAACAGTATATTGTTTGATTACTCTTGACTGAACCTGGATTAATAGGAATTTTTTCTGACTTCTAGTCAAAAGTCGTAACATTCAATCGAGTTGAGATGGGTGGACGTAACGCAGTAGTCAAACTATGGTCTCTTACGCCTGTTACTCGTCATGTTGCCCACAATATGCTCTCACTTCTCATAAAACTGACATCCTGAAAATTTCACAACTATAATGACATCCTTCTTGGATTCATTTTCTAATATGAAATCATCTGGTTAAACGTTTTATTTACACATTATACAAAAAAAATAGGATAAAATAACAATACTCTGATCCAAAAAGAAACTGTTTAGGTTATTTTGATAGCAAAAATATGTATTTTCAAAAAGAACTAAGACTGTCCGATTATATAGAAGTTTGTAATACATAAGTTAATAAAAGAATCTGTTAAATGAACAAAAACCAGAATGTTTTTCTTTCTTGTTTTTTTTTAATTTCGAAAATAAATATTAGCCTATTTCAAATAACAAAAGATATGATAATTACCGGGTTTTGGTTTCCCGAAAACAAAGTGCTTTATTGTTAATTAAATTAACTGAAGAGAAAAAAAAGTGAAATCAACACCTTAATTATTGTAGTGTTCATATTGAGGAATGTGATTTATAGAAGAGGATGTTAAAGGCAAAGAATCTAATCTTAATGATTGTGAATATTCTGTATTCATCGGAAATGACAGATGTGATGATGATGATGATGACAATGATGTTGGTGGTAAAGAATTAATGAAAGAATTCACATCCATTTCTGCTGATGTTATAAAATGTGTTGAGGAATGAATAAAATCGTTATTTATTTCATTACTAGTATGGTTATTGGAATATGGAGTCGTTGCTTTATCGAGACCATGTAAATGAGTACGTTGATGTGTTTTACAATGATCAGATCTACTAAATGATTTTGAGCATAAATTGCACTTGAATGGTCGTAAATTTAAATGTTTTCTTAAATGTCTCGTTAATTCGTCTGAACGTGCAAATGTTTTCCCACATATTGGTATAGTCAATGAATTAATCGGAATTTTACCAGTTATATTACGTGGATAAGGAAATACACAAACTAATGGACGTTCACCTAGAAAAATAAAATAAACATGCATCGTATTTAAATCAGTTAGTTCTTCTGGTCAATTTAGATGGAGTTTATTTAAACTATTTAGTTTTGTTGAATACCATTTTATTTGCGTTAAGGTATTTGTAAAGCTTCTTCGATTTAAAGTCCGTTTCACTTACTTCAGCTGGGGAACTACTTAAAACTAAGCAACATTGGACAGTTATTTTATCCCACTTTAGAACCTGGTAAAAGTGTACATTAACAGTCCTTGAGTTTAGAACCATCAAGGAACAATTGTTCATTTCTGTTTGTTTTTTAAATGATAATTCAGCTAAAGAGAATTTATAAGTACCAACTTCAGATATTACCTAAGTTTACATGAAAAGCACGTAATTTTAATCAGTTCACCTTTTTCTAATTAACGACTACATTTGAATTCAATACTTGCAGTATAGAAACAGCATATTTCAAGCAAATAAAGCACTTAATAGATAGATCGAAGGATTTACTAGGAATCTGCTATATTTGGGAATCAGAGCATAAGCAACATTTTCATCACAAGCGGAGTTTCAACATCTCATAATTAATCATTAATCCTCAAACTGTTATGCTAGTATATATTTGAACATGTAGAAAATGGTTCTTTCTGCAGCTTACATTGGTAACGTTCGGAACCATTTTTCTAGACCAGTTAAAATTGTGCTAAGAAATAAGATTTATGCCATAATTTAGTTAGTTGATAATATAATGATTACTTATAAGTAGTCTTATTAGGTTGATGGCACTACACAAATTGACATAAGTACATGGGAATTTTTGTAGCCCTTAAATTGACTTTTTATGACAGTAGAAAGAGGAATGACTTTCGTGACCCTAACGTTATTTATGATTACTCGACTTCTAGTTTCCTTCCAGCACGGAATTCACTCAGCTTCTATTTTGGTTTGTCAATACCGACGTGCAGCGAAAGTTGACCTACAGTAAAAAAATAACTGACTATCAAACTTGGGGTTGTCTCTTGTTCATCTAAAACTAGGTTCGAAATTATATCGTTTTGATTACCAGTTGAACCTAATAAATAAGATATGTATTTACACTTTCCCCTCACATGTGATATAAATTTACCTAGTTTCACAGACATATTTGTAACTTACTGGCTGTTAAAATACGTTTTGTTGCCGACAAGCTAGCCAACCAATAAAGTAACGTAGCTACTGGATACGTGTACCTAAATTCTACTTGTTTGATCACATAAAACAAAGTGGTCCATAGAACAGTATAATAAAGTAATGTATGAATATGTACCAGAAGCTTCAATGACTAGCATCTAAACGATTTCTATTCGGTAGCCGGTTATTTTTCCTTAATGTTTGAAATAAAAGTACACCATTAAAAAAATGTACCACTTACCAGTATGAATTCGATAATGAGCTTTTAGATGGCTTGACTTTAAATATCTTTTCTCACAACCTGCAATGATTAACGTTGAAGAAACAAACGTTAATTAAGTGTCGCATTTGAAAAACGTACGTACATTAAATTCTGTAATTAGTCATTTGAAATAAAGAAATACACAAACGCACTATTACTGATAATGTGAAAATCAAAGTCATTATTTTCATAAACTACGGTAGACCAGATCAATTATCTAACGAAGTTGAGATTTTGTAAACTTTACTGAGGAAAATCCACTGTCAGGTTTAGTCATAATTATAGTTTTACAATACACATACTTCACTTTAAGTCCTGGATTCGTGTTTCATAATTACTGATAATGGCAACCAAGTTACTTGAGTAAACCGTAGAGCTAAGTATCTAGTACTTAAATGAAGACCTATACACAAATTCAAACTAGCTTCTTAGCGTTGTATTGAGTAATGCCACCCATGGAGATCCTCGTCAGGAATACACCTTAGGATGCTATGGGACTTTATTTCGAGCGGCTTTACATGATTATTGGTGTGTAAAGAGATAACACAAATTATTATATTAAGTATGACTACCTGTTTGCTACTTATAAGGCTAAGTATAACACGAGTTCTACGTTGATTTGGAAGCGAAGCACGGCACTTTAATGAAATGCCAAAATTTAACAATAATCCTAGCAACCAGAAATAGTATTTAAGCTACAAGAATTCCCAGGTGTGGATAATTATTATTAAGTTTTTTTGTATGGTTCCAAATTTGTACCATAAATAGAAGATACAATCTAGGAATGACTTTCACGACTAACAGTTACCTATTTCGCCCCATTCCGTGACTCTTCAGTTGTCCACAACTTCAAAGATTGAATACGTAACTTTGGGGATCGTTATACTCGTATCTGGACGATTAATATAGTTAGGAACAAAAACAAAATTCAAGTCATCTTATGGGTCGATCTGATGGAGTCTAAAAGAAGATACAACTAGAACCAGTTGCGCAACTAGCATAGACTAAATGACCACGTTTTTCGAAAGATTGTGCCCAGTGTCATACATTTCCAGGTATTTTGTACGGGTAAATGTGAGGTAATTTCAAGTAGTTTGGTTGAGTAACATTATGGAAACATCGCATTCAATCTAATAACCATACAGTCATATAACCGTTACTAGAAGCTACGCATTTTAAGTATAACCTATCAGCTAGATATTCATCAACCATGGATGGTGATCTACGTCAGTTGAGACTGTTTCCACTAACTGATTATCCCTTTGTATTCGATTGAGCGCTTATTACGAATTACAAATATAATACGTTCATTTGTGCTTATCTAGTTCTACTTACCTTAAATTGTACTATTTCGGCTATTCTTAGTCAGTAAATTAATTCGGATACTCCTAATTACCATAATTTCCTACAGACTAATTAAATTATTGGAGAATAACAATTAAGAATGAATACAAAAATCGCAAAATCTACTTGAAATTTTGACTGTTTTAGGTTTGTGTCCTTCCAAATTACACCATACTAAACAGTATAATAATAACTGCAAGCCATGTTCACAACAAATGATTGCTTAGCACTTAAGTTTAAGCCACACATCTTAGTTGTTTTCATTTATTAAGTTAACAGATTTACTTTCTTGAAAATATTTAAGGACAATGACAACATATAGTGGTTTGGTTGAACTAATGATACTACTAATTAATGATATGTACTACTAATCAAGAACCACAATGAATAATGAAAGGAAAGCTTACCAGGAAATGTACACGCATACTTTTTCTTCATCTGTTCATCTTTGATCGAAAAGCAACTGTTTTCAGTATCACTATCCGGAGATTCAACTTTACTGGGGAAAACTCGGCTTTGGTTTCGAATAGGTGAATACGATGAATAACAATTATAAGTTTGATGACAACTGAACGAATGATGAGTATTATTCGAATGTGCAGGTGAATAGTTATGATCATATGAATAATTATGAGGTGGGATGAATGAATAATTTATCATGTCACTCTGAGAATAGTAAGTATACCCAGGTAATTGACAAGTAGGATAATCGTTCTTGATTGCGCAGTTCGAAAAATTATCCGAATATGATGGATTAGTGTATGGGGAAGGAATATTGTGCTCATAATTTTGAACGGCATTCTCAACTCGCATGCTTGATTCTATATTATTGATTTCTTTCATCGGCGTTCGTCCCATTTCTTCTGGGAAACTGGGCTCAATCTTTACACAATCATACGAATTCGCTATCATCTGATTCGAACAGCCCCCTAAATTATTGGAATACGAAAACACCGGATTTGTTACATGTGGTAAACTACTACACTCCATTCTTCACACTAAACTTGCAAGTTTAAAAGTGATGATAATATAAATCCTGCTTATAAAGGGAAATTCAACACGATAGTGAATTAGCGCTTGACATAAAATCAACCAATCACAATTTGAACCATTGGGATGACTTATTACAAAAAATAATTTTGAGCGAATAAAATAACTGGTATTTTGTCACTCCTTACATGAATGGGTTAATTGAATAAAATTCCCATTGGATGTCAATATTATAACCATTGATGTTTCGGCAAAACTGACAATCGGACGGGATATTTATCCGAACAACATAGTTACTTTCTCAATACAAATGAAAAAACGGACTCTGACAATTAACATCTGAGTGTTAGTTGATTGTTTAGCATTGATGTACGAAGTTGCAAAAAGTTTCATACACTATCCCAGAGGAAAGTCCTATTATCCACCCGATAAGTAAATATTGAATGAAACCTGCATTATGACAGACAATAAAACTCGAAAGTAGTTTAATTTAAAAAAGGTTTTAGTATGTTTAAGTGATCAAACAGTATAAACTTCATTTGAACATAACCCACACAGAGACTTTATGCGATTGAAATGATGTTTAACGTTGTAGTTGAGGTTAACTTATTTAAAAATCATGTTTACTAAAACTCAATATATCTTCAGTCCCAAACGCGTCAGATTCACAATATGTATTACATTCCGATGTTGCATACAATGTTGGAGATCACAGTCAAACTTTATTAGAAACTTTCCTGAACTAGATGAACGTCTTGCTATTGCAATTCTCTAACGAAGCACACCGTAATATGGATTTTGTCTCAGTACAATTAATTGTTTAGAGAAAATCTGGAATATAATTTTTCTGATTATTTTTATCAACAAGTAGGTTTCAATCTACATGTTTGGGTATTTATTAAGTTGAATATTAGGTGTCTGGCAATCCAACTTGGCTGTTGGCTTTACCAGAGTATGAGTTAGTAACATGTTTCGAATTGATAGTCACTAATTCGAGTTATAGTGCTTTCCCACAAACAGAACGATTAGTTATAATGAGTTGGACCAGGAAATATCACCATTTTCGGTCCTACATATTTCTGGTGTTAGAAGGAGGGTTTACAAAGTAGAGAGCTTACAATAATAAGACCAACTCACAAAAATGTCTTGACTTACTCCAAACAGTCATGAGTTATACTGTCACACTCTAAGGTAGGAAAGAGCGTTTATGCCAATCAAGACTTCATTCATGCTTCTTAAGAAGAATAAATCATCTAAAGTTTGGGTAGCTAAGATGTGTCAATCATCCTCATACCTTCAGTAGCACTTGAATTTATCTTGTTCACCATAGAACCCCTTGATTCTTAATATTTCTTCACTGCCTATTATTAGTTCTGCTTTTCTCGTCTCATCTTTCTATATAAGTTCAACCAATGATGATGTACGGAGCTAAAATGAAATTAAACACTTAGATATTACTTAGAGTATTTGGAACATTGAGACTTGATCGACAGACCAGAATCAAAAGTATAGACCAAACAGTTTAATATTGATGACCATTGTATTTAGGCATCTCAGGTCTGCCGGAGATTAATTTCGTCACGAATACATTAGTGATGACCGCTTTGGTAATAATACTACTTACCATGTGTTAGGAACTTACGAATAGTTTCACTTAACTCAGGAATCTAGATAAGCTTTCACATTGATTGCCAAATATCATAATGTCGAAGTCCGAGATGAACAGACATTTTTTACCATATCAACTGTAATCTTATAATCAAATTAAGACCCATTATATGACGTATTTCCAGTTGGATATCTAAGTGATGACATACTATTAGTAAACTTTAGAGGTTCTGTGTTTAGTTTCAAATGAGGTCATAGTTATTTCATGTTGAGATTTCACAAACTAAGGCAAACCAGTTGTTACGCAATCTTCGACTATCAAAATATGCTCAGTCAATAACAGTCCGAAATTCGAATGATGATATTTATCATTTATCTACTGAACATCTTCATGTTTAACTAAACAAACATTCTTTAACTTTTCAGATTTATCACAATAAAAACACATTGACTTTCAGTTAAAATATAACTTAGTGCATTCGAATAGCTCGAATTTATACATCTAATTCTTGTAAGGATTTTTATTTCCCTATTGCTGATATTGAGAATTTCAACTTGACAGTCTCTTTTGCCTTACATGCATCCCAAGAGTATTGCCTTGATTTCGCCATTTAGCCATAAGTTTTTAGTAAAGTGGATATCATAAACTAATAATTGTCTGGATTCAATAGTTCGGTGGATAACGTGCATAGAGTTTGAAGTGAAAAATTATGAATGTAAAAGTCAACACTAGGTTTTAGCTGATGAGGTCCAAATAAAAGGAAAAATCTCTGGATTCTACTACTAATCCCTATCCAATGTCACAATAACTACAAAATTTTTTATACCACTTTGATTAAAATACTTAAAGGACCATGGAATCACCACTTACTAACTGAATCTTATTAAGATAATATTAAGATTCGAGATTTGAAAACATGCTTTTATATGACAGTCTAAGTGTGCATTATTGAGAATTTCTAAACAAAGTTTATTCAACTATTCATCTATCCCTGATTTCCAGTAGTTTCCCATCTAAATATTCATCTAAGCAAATCGATACATGATTTTCATCAGTGAAAGTTAAACTTTCACTTAAAAATATTATTCTGATTATTATCTAAAGGGATTACACAGATATTTTTTTGAATTTCTTAGTTAACTTCATTGACTGATATCTAAAAGTACATATATGAAAATGATCTTAGAAATGATACATAGTAAATACTAGGTGCCTTATTTAGTGAAATCATCTTAAAAATTTATCTATAAAATGTCCATATTAGATAATTATCATTTCTAGGCAAATATTTGATTCACACGACATGTGACATGATAATTTTCTTATATAATATTTACGTAATTTGACCTATATTCAGGGAGTTATCATTCTTTATTCTGTTTTAAATAAGATAATGATTAATAAAGGTTATTGAATTCATTCAAGCATAATAACATATTTGATTTTACTGTGTTAATAAGTATCGAGTTTTATAATGAATTAGAATTTAAATACTGCATTATTCTTTATGCTTTTCTCATTTGTATCAGAAGGGGTTTTATGGAGATTTTAGTAATTTCAATAGTTGATATCATGAGTCGATTGAAGCTAGACCACTATGGAAAATCTGGAATCACTGAACAGCCGTTTCGTCCTGTTGTGGGACTCTTCACGAAATTGAGCGACACATCTACCATTGTCATGTGTGATTTACTATCTCACTATCTCGTTTGTTAATTATCAATATAAAATAAAACAGTTTATATAAATCATAATGTTTAAGTATCATTTACGGTAATTTCATTAAATTTCAAGATTGTTTTCACTATGAACATATATCATTTAGAAAATTTCACATTTCGTCCCAGTTCAGTACTCTTCGTCAATATTTACTGTGAGAATTTCACAACCTTCCAATTCCAAATTATTGATTTTGATTTATTGTTTGGCTATTAGTGTGTACGCTATAAAATTCTTCAATTAAGACAAATTCAAAAATTTTAAGTAACTAGAAGTTTACTTAAACCTATCTGACGTAAACAAATCAGTACAAATCTAGGTCTAGACCTTTTACTTTTTACAACATATTATTACTGCTTATCTAATCAAAGAAACCTTCTGTTGTATTCTTTTAAATCGTTTATCGATGAAAAATAAAGTTAATGTAAAAAAATCTACTAAGCAAATATTTGGATGATAAGCAAAGATGGATAGTGGCTAGCAGTGGAATCCAGGACGCGCTTTTCGTCCTATTTGGGACTCGTTAGCTGGATGTACCTGCATCTCAGAGTTGATGTTCACTCTGGAACTCGAGCCCAGCACCGTTCGTTTCACGCGCCATTGTGTTATTTACACAGCTACTGAGTCCTTATAGCCACATATGCCTTCAAGAGACTGATCAATTGGAAAGACTGAAGTCAGTAATACGAAGTGAATTGAAATATTTGGATGCTCTGAAAATAACATGTTATGTATCGTTCTACAAACTGCATGATTATTTTTTCACTTAATCAAGCTAATAATGAATATCAATTATATATTAGTGTTAGTAATCATATTTCCTTAATTGATCCGCTAAATCACTTTAGGACATACTGAAATTGTTGACGTTTTTCTTTTATTCGACTTATGGTCATCATTTAGGTATTCGTGATATTTTGTTCTAACTTCACTCTATGTTGAAAATTTAGGTTTTACAATCTGTTTAATTGAATTCTCTGTAGACCTTTTTAAAGATACGAAAGTGAACAGTTAGGATATACAAAACAAACATCGAATGATATGTGTACGTGTTTCATCATCCCTGCAGTAAGTCTTTTGTCGAAAACTATAGTTCTTTGGATAGAAATCCAAGTTTTTACAAACTTTACAAATAATCTACATCAGTATTCTTTTTGAGATAGGCAGTGAAAGTTTTCAGTTTAGTTCATATAAAACTCGAGGCATATAAGCTTAGAATGCAAGTAGATAGTATAGAAAGTAATCTAGCTTCTTGGCAATCATCCACGGAAGAAGCTAAATGGGATTTTGCCTAATTATGCTAAACATTTGAAAGTTCAAATTAAACACATTAACATTAAGCATATAGGGATTAAATAAAATATACCAATCTTATACCTAGTTTATTGTAATCAATATACACATGAGTAAATGTTAATAAGCAAAAACTAACATGTAGATTTATTTTGTCAAACTTGTTAATTTTTTAATTGATTCATGTTATAACCTATAAGTAAGTTAGTACACTTAATTACCCTTTCATAAATACATGATGACTCATAGTTATTTGGTTCAACTCAATAAGGCTTTAGAATTGCCTATTCGATACAAATTTAGCGAAAACGTTGACAACATGACAACCTTCGTCTGACTATGACATTATACTATTTTAGTATTTTAGTTATTAGATTGA